CCCTCTTAACCAACTCGCATCTATTACTTATTTCCTAATTAAACGAGAATCCCAGTGAAATGGCAGAAAACCCGAGCCAGGTATGATTTGTTCAGAAGTTGCAGTGGTCCAGCGATTAGCAATAGGTCGCAGGACTGTCGGTCGCTCGAATCGCCAAGTATAAACGGCACCACCAGCCAAATGTGTACCTTCCCCTTCTCTCCCCCTCCCCCTAAGTGATTGTAGCGAAACCCTGCCATCCTGAATGCTACTGTCCGCGTTCCTTCGCTCAAAAGCGTCGGCTGGGGGTGGGCGGCTACTGCCAATGTCATTGGTGGAAGGGCTGGGTGGGGGTGGTGCGAAACAGCCTCTCGCACAGCCCTTCCACCAATAAAATTGGCTACAGCCGCCAGCCTCCCCCTCTGCCATCGTGTCCACTGCCTTCAAAGATAGCCTTACCTTGGCCATGTCGTGCGAGATGAATTGTCCAAACTGCATAACCATGGCGTTGTAGTCTTCAGAGACCACGGAGGCATGAGACGACGTGAGATGTCGGGTGACAGCTCGAGGCGAAGGGCGCAGATGAGTCATTATTGATCCTGAACAGAAGTGAATTTATGAATGAGGAAAAAAGCAATGTTCCAAAGATTGAGGCAAGTCCTTACCGACTGGTTCTGAGAGGCCATTGTCGTAAACAGTAGGCAGAAGGCGGGTGTAGGGACGATAAGCCGCTCCCTCTCAATGGATTCTGAAGATTGTTACACGTTCCATCCATTGTCCTGGAAGAGGATCACATTAACTTGGCAGTATTCATTCTACTATGCCAACGAGGTCGTCAGATGATGCTCTTTATTGGTATCGGCCTGACGTTTCGTCTAGACCATCATCTTCAAACGCCTTTATTCTCTAGGATTTCTTGTGGAATAACAGGAGAACGATCGAGAATCCCCAATGGGAAAAACGAACCCCCCTAGTTGACCACCCCATGAGCAGAACGACCCCAGGCTGTGTTAGTTGCAGTTAGTAACAGGGGACGTCGTAAGCTGGCGAAGCCGCCCCCATTGCTGGGCGGCAATTTTTTTTCTGGGGAAAATGTCCGGAGAAAAGCAGCAGGTTGAGAAAATTAGTTGAGTGGTAGGTAATGGGGAAGGAGAGATCTACCAGGGGAGTAGATTTTGATTTTGCAAAAATTCTCCTCAACGGCAGAACTTGCTGTGTTGTAAATGAGACATATAGTGCTGCCCCCATATAAGTAGGAATTGCGCGCCTCAGTGTTCACACCAGTAAGTCGCTACTCATCACCGGGGCATATTCTTTTGTTTCGTTCAGAGGACCTCTGCAAAAATACGACCCCCCTGCCATCCTACCCACCATTTTACTGACTTTTCGCAACTTGCTACCGCTTCCTACAGCTTTTTACAGCTATCGCAAACAGCGTGAGGGGCAGAGATGGCGCCTGTGAAAAGGGAAGAGTCGCGACAAGTCAACAATCGGAAAGATTCCTTCAAGACCAAATACGACTCCATCTCGGACGAGAAAATGCGACCACCCCTCTCCCCAATGGGACTTTCTCTACGATGTGGCAGCGCGCGTGAAACAGGAACATCAGCTGTCAGAAAAAATCTTCTGAGGGCGAATGCGAGTCCCTCCCTCCAGTGATCAAATAGGTCCTGCCGAGGATTTCTCATGAACGTGGCCTTGATTTGCCACACCTTTTACCAGCGAGATGCTCTCTGATGCGTATCGCTATCGTTCTTACTAGTCTCTTTGAAATTGTAACGTAGCAGATTTATGGCGCAACTTTCATCGGGGAATCTGGTAAAACGCTAGCGAGACGCATCAAAGAACACCTTGCTATTGAAAAGAGTGGTGAATTGAGAGCACCGCACCCCAGGCATTTGATCGAAGAGCACAGCGGAAACGACTCTAATGAAGTGCAAAATCCTGGCATGAGACTTTGGCACAGGGCAAGGCATACGTGGCACAAATGGGAAAATCCTCAGGTGAGTCATATTTTTGGGCCTGAGAAAAAACTATTTTTGTTAATTGATAATTTCCCCTGTATCACGCGCTAACCACCATGTTTGCGAGAAAAAGGTTCCTTCAAGGAGTTTGTTGTAAGTACCAGGGGGGGGGGTTCGTAGGGTTCGTTTTTGCCGCAGCCGACGAGGCTGCCCGGTGAAGCCACGCTGTCTTTTTACAAACTATACCCACCTCAGAAATGGCCGTCGTGGGTGGTAGACCTGCTGAGCGCGTTCACCCATTCGGAGTTTCGATTGTTTTCCTCTATTCTTTTTATTCCGCATATACCGTACTTTGAGGCTGTTTTCTCTATCCCGCAGGAAGCCAACCGCTTCCCTTGTTCATACAAAGTCCTCCCTAATCTATTGTTGGTGATCCCAGTTCGGTAAAAAAGAGACTTCAGTAACGCTCCTTTCGAAAGTCATGGCGCAGACCATCCTTCCGGAAAAGTCCTACGGGAGCTTAAAATCCAGGCCGCTTTGGGAAAGTGGGAAGGGAGGCTCGTAGTTAACCCTGAAGATTCTTCGCCAGCCAGCTGGGAGAAGTAAATTTCCGCGTTTTGAAATTTTCTCAACCGCCGGTTGTGAATTTTCTCCCGTTTTATGGCCATTCCTTCTCATTAGTTGACAAAACGTGACGAAACCACTATACAACTACTATTTCTGTCACTTACGGTCAGCCAGAAAAGGGGATTTTCAAGAGAATTGCTCTTGGGAAAGGGCCAAGAGTACTTCTGAAAGAGTATTATAGGTTGTGAGAGGGATTGTACCCAAAGGGTAAAGAATTTACAGAGAAGAGGACATCGGGAATAGGGATCGCACTCAAGGGGAATCGCATGGACCCCGCCCTTTCACCCATCGTGATGCTGTATCCTGCTCCTTACGTTACTATGCCCACCCCCCCCCTAACGATCCAAGATTTTACCTGAAGTACGCATTATAGCAAATATTCCGTTCGCAATTGCTTTCGTCCAGTCGCGGAACACAAACATTCGCCAGATTTGATCGAATTACTGCGTCCAAATCTACTGTTCTCCGGTTCGAATTGTCTGCAACAGAGATCTCGCCCGACTGTTTAACATGCGGGTTTACTGGCACTGACCTTCTGTTGCAACGACTAGTTTCTCTCTCCACATCTCTTCGGCCGATACTAACGGATCGTGTAGAATTGCTTGACATCTTGCTGTGTTTCCAATGGGGCGTGGCGGTGCACGAGTCGTCGCTGCCGTCGTTGAAGCCCTTGTAGTCGAATGAGTTGTTCTTGCAGTTGTTCTTGTTGTCGTCGGTGAAGAAGGCCGAGGTGTGGTGCTGAAAATTCTTCATAATTTAAATAAATTGAAATTGATGAGTTGAGTTCATGACATTCGAGTTGCAGCATCGCAGCCGCACTACTATCTAGTTGACTCGGAACAGCACTTTAGCGTCAATTTCAATATGTCACGGCCGCTTAGGCAGCGTTCAGACTTCGCGACGGCAGCGCCTCGGTCGCGATCGATGCGCATGCATTCAAATGCATCGCCGCGCGAAGTGCTGAACGCTGGCCTGACGTTTCAAACAAGCGCATATAGGACGTCGCTAGACTGACGCAGAAGGGTTCTGTGCTAGTCAACTGGACAAGGTACCAGTAGTGAGCGCCCATGCCGCTTCTCGGATGTTCTGATACACACCAATCACGCACCCGAAAACCCCACACCTAACGTAGTTGAGCTTACGCACTACGTGGCGGCGCCTCTGCGTCTCTTTCCCTAATCTAGGTTTCTGCTTAGAGTGCAGACGACCAGAGTCGCATGGAGATAGGGCAGACGGGACAACAGCCGCCAAAGCATTAAACAATACACACAATTTCATGAGGCCAGCACACGAACTGCCGTCAAAAGATATTCGCAAGCTACCCAAAAATTTCCTTCTGATTCTTTCCGTCTATGGTCTTGCGGAAATTCTGCGGTTCCTCTCCGAAAATTTGCCGTTGACTTCGAGGGGAGGGGTGAGATGTCAACAGCCCGAAAAATTTTTTCCAAAGGAAAATGCAACCCTCCCTCCTCCCTTCCTTCCCCCTTTGGTGACCGAATGGGGCCCCTCCTTTGGGTCCGCAGTGCAGGATGTGCCCTGCATGTTGCGAGCCAGGAGATGGGTCTAAATGAGAGAAAGAGCGTAGAGAAAACCAGAAAACCGAGTAGCTCGCGGCGGCTCTGGTCGTCTGCGCTCCAACCTCAAGCCTTGCTCAGGGGAACAGACGCAGGGACGCTGCCGTGTGGCTTTGCTCAACTACACCGTGATCCTCATATTTCCATGGGTCTATCACCCCACACACTTAGAAAGATCTGTGCAAGATTAGAAAAAATGTGTTGTGAGTCACACCATCTGTAAAAGTGTCAATAGGTCCTCTGAAATTGACAACAAAGCCAGTTGTTCGTGAAAGTCTGCAATAGACCGTAGCAATCCGAGCGATAGGTTGATTTCTCGAATGTATTAGGGCGCAAGTTGTCGTGCTAAGGGCATTTTACTGGTCTTCAACGGTTTCTGCCGAGGCCTCTCCTGGAGACCTGTGGAAATCCTGTCAAGCAGGAGTTTCGTTTATACTTCACAGGGCTGTGCCTTTCTCTTCAAGCAGGAACTAGCAAAATGAACTGCCCCTCCCAAGTCGAACTGTACCCGTATTACTTGTTCGTCATTCATCTTCATAACAAACACTTTTTTCAACAAGAGGACGGGTAGGTAGCAACGAGGTGGCCATAAAAATCACTCTCTTCTCAGGGTGACGAAAATTGAGTTGGGGTAGACAAAAAGACCGAACCAGAACAATAAAGGGCAAAGGTTGCATGAATCATTCTGCAGTGGTTTTATAGAAGGATTAAGGGTGGAATCCTCCTCGCTGACCAATCCGTTTCTGAGATACGCCATGCAATCTACTTCCATTTGGAATCTTAAAGCGTTATAAAATGCTATGCGGCCTATGAGAAATGACTTGTGGGGCCAGCTGATGTACAAGTCAGTGTTCTCATCCTCCCACACATGTTTGGTCAAATTT